AAAAAAAACAGAAGAAATAAAAGACAATGAAAAGAAAAAGAATGGTAATAATTAATTGCTGTTTTACCGTATAAGATATGTCTGTGTTATTGTTTTGCTGTGTTGGTCTCACATCTGACTGGTTTAGATTAAAAACCTATTGACAAGAGCGAAATGAAAATTAATTAAATCTTTAAAAGGCTGAATATAAATTAAAGTTTTCTTTTGGTAAGCATAAATTAAACATTTGACTTGAAATTAACAAGATTAAAAAAGCATTAGACCAACAAAAAAGAAGAAGAATTAATTAGGAATTAGGATCCTCACCTTGGGACTATTTACCGGAGAGCTGGCCGTATCCTCCAAAGCATCATCAAGCAAAGCTTCTTTCGTTTTTCTCCTGTCGAATCCGAAACTTGATCTATTATCGAACCCTAAAACTTCTCCATTAATAGCACTCAACTTTCTGGTAACCGCAGAAGCGGCATCGGAGATTATGGAAGAGTTTTCATAAACATATGAGGAGAAGGAACTGCGTTCATCATCATCCCCATCATCATTATTGCTTGTCAAGAAATCTTCCAAGTACATAGTCCAACTACTCTCCTCAGGGGACTCATGAGAAGTGGCTCTTGTATTATCAGAAGACACAGATTTTCTCATCATAGAGTTCATAGAGTGATGATCTTCCATCTGTGTAATAGGGTTTTGAATCAAGAAGATGATGATGAAAATAGGAAAATATATACAGCAAATAGTGTTGGGGAATTCAAGAAAACAAGGCTTGAGAAGAGTAGCTATATATAGTAGAGTAAGTAGAGAACAAAGGGAAATTATACATAGCCTTGGAATCTTGATGTAGGGGCCATATGATAAGAGGAAGTAGGAGAAAAATTTGGCTGCAACAACTGCCTCTGAGAGAGAGGGTTTGACCTTTGTGGTGTAAGGTTAGATATACACCAACAGAGAATTTGCCAAATTTTTCTAGGGAGTGGACTTACCTTTCCACTAAATTTGTGTTGAATGAGTCACTTAAATTATATGTACTCACAGAAGACTTTGGACTAGTTCTTTGCTCATTTTATTATATCTCAGCAGAGCAGGAGAAGTTATTTGTATATTTAAAGAGTTTGATAAACTGTAGTAGTTATCTAATCATTCTCTTCCCACAGAAGATATGCCCCACCATCAACAATTTTAATTATGATTTGAAGATGACATTCCATGAAAGTGGGATTAGTGTCGACAATAAGCCCATATATCACATTGTAGTTCTTAAT